CTATCAACGATCGACCTTACGAAAGGGTACTGGCAAATACCCCTGGCGCCGGCGGCCAGAGAGAAGACAGCATTCGCTACCCCGTTCGGTCTATTCCAGTTCGTCACCATGCCGTTCGGGTTACACGGTGCAGCAGCCACATTCCAGAGGCTGATGGACGAGATCTTAGAGGACCACCGCGACTACGCCACAGCATACATAGGACGTGGGAGGAGCATCTACAGCAGCTGGGAGCCGTACTGCGAACGCTCCAACGGGCCGGGCTCTCAGCTAATCCCAAGAAGTGCCAGTTCGGGAAGAGGGAGGTATCCTACCTCGGGTATACGGTGGGGAGGGGCCGGCTAAAACCACTACTAGACAAGGTATGCGCCATTAGGGATTACCCCCGGCCCCACACCAAACGACAAGTACGCCAGTTCCTGGGCCTTGCGGGGTACTATAGACGGTTTATAAAGCATTTTGCCTCCCTGGCGGCCCCTTTAACAGACTTGACAAAGAAAGAGAAACCCCAGAGGGTGGTGTGGACGCCCCAAGGGGTGAGGGCGTTTGAGGCACTACGGCAGTGCCTGGTGTCGGGCCCAGTGCTACGGTCCCCCGATTTCGAGAAGCCGTTTCTCTTGCAGACTGACGCCTCCGAGGTAGGGCTCGGGGCAGTCCTCGCACAGGAGGAGGAGGGCGCAGAGTACCCCGTAGCCTACCTAAGCCGGAAGTTATTCCCTAGGGAAAGGAACTATGCCGTAATAGAGAAGGAAGCGTTGGCCATCAAATGGGCCATAGACTCTTTACGCTACTTTCTTACAGGCAATACCTTCACGCTGGTGACGGACCACGCACCGCTGAAATGGATGCAGTCCATGAAGGATAACAACGCGCGGATAATGCGGTGGTACCTGAGCTTGCAACCTTTTCGTTTTGACATTAAACACAGACCTGGTAAAGATAACGTGAACGCAGACTGTCTCTCGCGGTTGCCGGGGGACGAGCAACCGGAGGGCAGGCCGACTGGAGGAAGGGGGGAGGTGTGTGACGGGGCAGGACCGCCCCG